CCGCCCCGTGCTGCACATTACGATCGCGGATTTGCTCTACTTGGACAATGCCAACCTCCTCGCTGGCGCGCCGCCAACGACCGAGCGCCTCGAGATCGATCTCTACAAGGTCATCTTCAAAGTGCACGAGGCCATGGGACCAGAAGGTAATGTGGCTCGTCCCGCTCGTCCGAGCATGGTGCCGCCTGGGGCTTTGCCCGGGAGCTTGACAGAGTCGTGGGCCGCGGCGCTCCGGATGGGCGCGGCGCTCCGTGCGGCCGCGAATGAAGACCAAGGCGCAGTGGACGAATCCATGCAGTAGATGAAGACCCGAGTGCAGTTTTAACGACTCGGATCGAATCGAGGTTGTGTTTGCATGCGATGGCAATTGTCACGTCTCTCAAGATAGACAAAGTAAACCACTGGTATTACAACATCGCAATGGTCTACAGCTCGGTGCGGCCCGAGTCGAGGTCCATGACGGCGTTCGGGTTCGGGTGGTACGCCTCCGTCGAGATGGCCTTGCCGCCACCGGCCATCGTGAGCTTGTCCGACTGAATCGTGGTCGGCGCCGCCTGCGAGAGGTCGTCGACGACCTCGTTCGAGTAGTTTTCCGTGACCATGTCGGTGAGGCCGAGCACCTCGTTGTCAAAGTCGGAGCGCGTGTAGCTCTCGGCCGTCATATGCGGGTCTTCGTCCGCGTTGCCAAACGGCGAGTAAATGAAGCTGTTGGCGAGCGGATCCTCAATGACGAGCGTGAACGCCATGCCGGTCTTGAGCTCCTCGAGGCGCCCGAGCCACGTGGCGAGACCCGACCGGCCGCCGTCGCTGTCGCCGACCGCGAACGGGTTGCCCGACGTGAGGTTGTCGCGGATCTTCTCCAAAAGACCTTCGATCGTCGTGTACAAGCCGCCGAGCGACCCGGGCATCATTTCGAGGTCCAACTCCGGGATTTGAACGGAGGCCGAGTCGCTCTTGAGGATATCGCGGTCCATAAAGCTCGAGTCCTATATCCGTCAAAACTAAGATATTATGTTCCAAGCCACCGTGCAACGTACGTTGGCCGGCACGCGAAGAACGATGCGCTCGCCAAACGGCGGGATCGCACCGCCAGCCTTGACCTCGTTCGTCTTGAAGCCGCAGTGCTCGCAGTTGAACGCCATGATGATGACTTCCTACGCCGCAATTTGGTCATGAAGACTGCGCGGCTTGTATCCAAAGAAGACAAAAGGGTACCTTGAAGTGCGGGATGTCGGTGACGCACATGAGCGACTCGCCGTCCTTGTAGCATGCGTGGCACTGCGTCGGAAACCGGATGGCTTCGTGGTTCTTGATGCCGCTGCTCGAGGCCACGAGCGAATCGAGGCCTTCGTTGCGCGGCGGCACGACCTTGGGCACATTTGACGGCGTGTCGTGGGCGTGCGACTGGTCGGGCTGGAGGCCGCATTCGAGGTCCTGCGCTTCGGAGCGGAAGAAGTGCGACACGGTGAGCTGCGGGTCGACGTTGGGCGCGCAGAGGTTTTCAATGTGCGAGTTGCCCGCGGGGTCGGTGACGACGACCGTGAACGGCAGCGTGATGCCCGCCGCCATCATGGCCAGATTAGCGAGGAAGTCGTCAATCTTGGCGGTCGTCGCCGGGTCAATGAGGCGGCGCTCTTCCTGGTTGGCGCGGAGGCCATCGATCGACTTGGAGATGAGGCCTTCGATCGTGTTGATCGTGCCCTGCTGCGTCTTGGCCGGCACTTCAAAGTCGATCTCGGGAAAGTAGACGGACGCCGTGTCCGACTTGATGAGCTGGCGGTTGAGATCTTCGCGGTTCTCCACAAGGAGCTCCATGCGGACGCCCTTCTCCTGGATCGAGCCGCCAAACTGAATCTCACTGTTCTTAAAGCCGCAGTGGTCGCACTCGAACGACATCAAAATGACTTCGCGAAAGTACGGAATGCGCGTGAGGAGGAGCTTGGTCATGCCATTGTCGTAGCAGTTGATGCAGAGGCTCTCGATCTCCGTCACGTTCGGGATCTCGTCGTTGATGTCCGTGAAGAGCGAGTCGCTATTGCCGTTCTCAATGTCCAAGTGCACGCGCTCGTCCGTGTTGACGGTCGTCCCACCGAGCACCTGCGGAGCCTTGGCCGACATTGCTCTTGAAAAATGGACCGACCCAAGCCAATCGCAAAATCCGCCGCTTTTGATTGGCTTATTTCAACTGGATCGCGACTCGTGATTGGTTCATGTTCTAGAAAAGACAGGCTTCGGTCGATTTCCGGTTTTTTT